CAAGTTTTTGGTGTGCTACGGGAGCAAAATTTGTATGCCAATTTGAAGAAATGTCATTTCTTTACAGATAAACTCATATTTTTGGGCTATGTTATCTCTTCCAAAGGTGTCAAGATGGATGAAGGAAAGATTGAAGTCATTCTTAGTTGGCCGGTACCAAAGACGATTCATGACATTAGAATTTTTCATGGCTTGGCCTCATTTTATCGCAGGTTCATAAAAAATTTCAGCACTATCATTGCCCCTATAACTGAATGTCTAAAAGACGGCAACTTCAAGTGGACGGAGGAAGCGCAAAAAAGCTTTGAGTTTCTTAAAAAGAAAGTCACGGAGGCGCCGATCTTGCAGCTTCCAGATTTTGGAAAGGTGTTTGAAATAGATTGTGATGCTTCGAATGTGGGGATCGGGGGAGTTCTTATCCAAGAAGGCAAACCCATTGCTTTTTTTAGTGAGATGATGAATAATTCCCGGCGCAATTATTCGACATATGACAAAGAGTTCTTTGCCATTGTTCGCACGTTGGATCATTGGCAAAATTATCTCTTACACAAGGAGTTTGTTCTTTTCTCAGATCATGAGGCCTTGAAAAATCTAAATTCCCAGCAAAAGTTGAATCCACGACATGGCAAATGGATTGAGTTTTTACAAGCATTCAACTTTGTGATCAAGCATAAATCGGGTGTGCTAAATCAGGTGGCGGATGCTTTTATTCGATGACATTCTTTGTTGACTACTTTTCAACTAAATGTGGTTAGGTTTGAGGTGATGAGAGATCTCTACAAGGATGATGCATACTTTGGCAAAATCTGGGAGAAATCCTTGAAAGCTCCATTCAAAATTTTCTTGATTCATAATGGTGATCTTTTCAAAGGTAATTTGTTATGTATTCCAAATTGTTCTTTAAGACTAACAATCATTGATGAAGCACATAGTGGAGGCCTTGCGGGACATTTTGGAAAAGAGAAGATTCTTGCACTTACAAAAGAAAATTTTTATTGGCCATGCATGGAAAGAGATGTCAAAAAGTACATTGAAAGATACAAAATTTGTCACATTGCTAAAAGTCATGGACAAAATACAGGTCTTTACACGCCTTTGCCAGTGCCATCATGTCCGTGGGAAGATGTAAGTATGGACTTTGTTGTTGGGTTGCCTCGCACCCAAAGGAACAAAGATTCAGTAATTGTAGTTATTGATCGCTTCTCAAAGATTACACATTTCATTCATTGTCTCAAGACTATGGATGCAACTCATGTGACTGATCTTTACTTCAAGGAGATTGTTAGACTTCATGGAATCCCGAAAACTATCACCTCTGATCAGGATTCAAAGTTCATGAATCATTTTTGGCGCACACTTTGGAAGAAACTTGGAACTAAACTTCAGTTTAGTTCATCTCATCATCCCCAAACTGATGGGCAAACTGAGGTGGTGAATAGAAGCTTGGGAATTTTTTATTGAGAAGTTTGGTTGGGAATAATTCTCGTCAATGAGATGTGGTTTTGACTCAAGCGGAGTTTGCTTATAATCGGTCTTCAAGTCAAACAACGGGGCGGAGTTCGTTCGAGGTTGTTTATGGTAGAAATCCTATCACTCAGATGGATTTAACTCTCATTCCTCGTACTCATCACATTAGTGGGGATAGGGAAGATCATGCTAAGTATATCAAAGAGTTGCATGAGAAGGTCCATAGAGAAATTGTGAAACAGAATGAGAAGTATCAAAAAATGGCGAACAAACATAGAAATAAATATGGTTTTAAAGAAGGTGATTTGGTTTGGATTCATTTGAGGAAGGAACATTTTCCTAGAGGTCGGCATGGAAAATTACAGCCTAGAGCTGATGGTCCTTTTCGAATTTTGAAGAAGATTGGTGATAATGCATTCAAAGTGGAGTTGCCAGGAAATTATGGTGTCTTAGGTACTTTCAATGTTGCTGATCTATCACCATATGTTGGTGATGAAGATGATGCAGATTCGAGGGCAAATCTTTCTCAACCAGGGGAGAATGACGTAGGAGCGGGAGAAGAAGCTAAAAAGTTGGCAGAATTAACGCAGCAAGAGATCACCAATAGTCCATCAAATTCGATAATTAATTTGCTTTGATTGGAAATGAGTTATGGTGCATATCCTATATGGTTTGAAATCTCTTCGAGTCTAATTTTCGAAAAAAAAAATACGGATCTAAAAAATAATACTCCTACTGAACATTACGGCCGTTTCACTGAAGCGTGGCAGACTGCAAAAGGTCACCGAACCAACTTTTATGTTGCTGATTTTGTTGATTCATCTCCTCATTATGAACCTTGGTTTCTTCATATTCATAGTATTTATCCATTTTTATTTAATTTTTCATTTATTTGGAGTTTAAGTTGATTCCTATATTATGACTATCGTTTGTAAGTTTGAGAGGAAATTTTTTGGGAATTAAAAATTTACCTTAAGCTATTAAGCTTGTTATAAGATATTGTCTTCTTATATTTTACTCTAAACTCTTTTGGTGGATTCCTAGAGTGGTGAGTGTATTCTTATGGTACCTCCTACTTCTCTAATTTCCTGGCATCAAGAGCTTTATCTTTTCTTTTTTTTTTTTTTTTTTCATTTTTGGATGATCTTACTCTCGTTCTGTTTGCCCGAGTTTTTCTATTGTTGTACTACTCCAAGAGGCCTTAGGAATTTTATCTTTAGAAGTTATATGGATGAATTAGAGGATTACCGACCATATTTATTTTAGGAAAAGAGAACTCCTTGACTAGGCTAGTTAGTTTCATTATATTTTGTGTTTTGGTTGATTTACAACATATTCTTATTAATTATTTTAAATCCTAAACCCTTGAATTGATCGACGTCTTTGTATTCCAATCTTTATTTTACATTATCACCCTATCAAATTCCAAAAAATTACATAACAAATATTGTGTGATTATGGACACTAATATACATGTTGATCTTCTTATTTACCAGAATGTCTTTCAATCAATGGTTGAGCTAATTAGATCTTTCCTATCATATTCTCTGTTGTTAGCTCTATCAATATAAATGGTTTTTCCATTATCCATATTGTCTCATCGATGATGTCATAAATTCCATCAAAGATTTGAATATTGAAAAATATATTTGGGCGAAGATCTATTGTACCAAATAGTCAAGAATTCGTATATATTTATAATAATGTACAAATCATCTAATAATGCAAGAATTTTACAAATCTTTTAAATAAGATAACTACTATAAATATGATATATATTTTTTAAATATATTTTAACAACCCTCCTCAAACTCAAGATATGATCGAACAAACTTGAGTTTGTCAGAAGTGATAAAAAAAAATATAGTCGAGATCTTCCACAAACGAACTTGAATTTGCCATTGACTGAAAGTGTTGTAGATATCCACTGGATCAGAGTCAAAATCAGAATTCAACACCGTTAGAGTTTGAAACAAGACTCGCTCGTTTACAATGAAATTAGAGTCGAAAATAGGACTCCATCACTCTTAATAGAGCTAGAGAGAGGATTTGCTCACTCACAATAGAGCTAAAGTCAGAAACATGACTCGCTCGCTCACAACAAAGCTAGAGTCGGAAACAAAACGCACTTACTCTCAGTAGAGTTAGAGTTGAAAACATGATTCTCAACAGTGTTAGAGTTGAAAGTAGAACTCTGTCAATAAAGATCGAAGTAGCAGAAACAGAAACAACATGAAAATGACAGTATAATCGCGGATAGAAGCAAATACATCAATAAAATATAAAAATATAAATGAGATATAACGGGTCATGAAGGTACTCGGAGAAAATTTGGCTCAGATACCATGTTAAATATAAAACTGAAATTCTCTATTTCAATAATAAGATACAAATCATCTAAATAATGCAATAATCTTACAAATCTCTTAAATAAGATAATTACCATAAATATAATATATATATATATATTTTCTAAATATTTTAACATAGTTGAAGCCACGTGAAGGATTTATTTAAATGTGAGGCACATAGTCTAGACTTGCCGGTTACGGTTACAAACCAATAGTCGGATGGTTTGTCAAAATATTAAACCGAAATTGAACTATCTGAATGACGGTTTCGATTATGGTTTATAAACCGTCGATTTCGAACGATTTGACGATTATGATTTATAAACCGTAGATTTCGAATTATGGTTTGACGGTTTCGATTACGGTTTATAAAATGTCTGTTACGAGTTGAACCGCCGATTTATAGATATTTATTTTTAATATTTTTTTTATTTTTTATTTTTCTAAATGTGAATTTTATTTAAAAATAATTAAGTTTGATATTAATTATATTCAAATATCACTACAATAAAATATCAATTTTGTAACAAGATTTTTTCGTTGTTAAATCCACTTTTTCCGTTACTAATGATATTAGAGACGGAATTTGAGATGGAATTACGTTAGCTACGTGAATTTTAGTAACGAAATTCCGTTACAAATATACTTTTTTTTTAGTGTATATTTATTATTTATTTATTATGTAAAAATCATATATATAAATAAATAATTAAATTGTTACACTATAAAATAATTAAAATAATAAATTTAATAAATAGTTCAATTAAATTTTAAATAAAAATTTATATAAAAATAAATTATATAAATATTGTTATGATAAAAAATTACAAAATTTTAAATATAAATAAAAAAATAATTTTATAGTATTATTATTTTTCAATATCATTAATAAATATTTTATTTATTAAGACTATTATTATTTTTATTTTATAAAAATTTAATAATATATATAAAAAAAATTTAATTATAAATATAATATTATTATTAATACACACAATTTACCCTAATCAATACATTTACACAGACACATCCACAGCCGCTGCAGCCGTCCGCCACCAGGTTTTCCTCTTTACTTTTTTCGGTCCGGTTTGGACCGGTTTCGGTTTAAACAGTAACCGCCGGTTCGAAACCGGTGAACCGGCGGTTCGAAACCGAATGGACAAGAAAATATCCTTCTAAGGTCAGAAGCTTTAATGATAAATATTGTCACGCTTTGTCGCAGCAAGAAGTCCACACTGCCTCTCAACTCTCGAGATTCTCTTCGTTTTTTCAGATCGGAGATTTGCTGTGAGAAAATGGCTAAGGAACCAGTTCGCGTTCTCGTCACCGGCGCCGCTGGTATTGCTTTATCTGCGGTTCATTTGTAGATCTGCTATTCGATTTAACTATTTATTTATTTTTCCGGGATGTTTGATTGATTTACTCATCGGTGGATCGTTTTGTGGTTTGGATAGGACCGACCTAGATCTTGAATAATTGCGATTAATTGGTTTGAATTTATCGTTGATCTTTATTATACTTGTGGAGAAATTGGAGTTAAAGGCTGAGATGCGGTGTTTTGGAATAATTTTATATGGACGAGTGATGTTTAATTGAATTTGAATGTCTGTGGTTTTTATTTAAACAAGAAGTGAATCAATTTGTCGTTCTAGTGTACTGTGTACCCTCGCCTTTGGTTTCGTTGAAAGAATTCTGTGTAAGTTGATGTGCACGGCTGTTAGATCTCGTTTTGTTTTGCAGTATACTGCTTAGTGAAGTCATATGAAGCAGTACAATACGGAATCTAAAGTTTTCCAGCTTTACATGTGATTCTGGTTGCAGAAATGTTTGTTTTGGTTTGGGTATTCTATACTCGAGTTGGAAATGACCTTAAGTTATACTGAGATTTGTCGTTTACAATTTTAGTTTTGGATAAATCTGTGGGGTTTGCTAGAGAAGTTGTTTGTTGTTTTGTTTCTAATAAAAAGTCAGCTAGCATGCTTTGTTCATATGTTACTTCTATTTTTCCTTCGATGTATCATGACTCTCATGCAAAGAATTGACATTGTTATGATTTTTTTGTTGGATAGGACAAATCGGATATGCTCTTGTTCCTATGATTGCCAGGGGAGTCATGTTGGGTGCAGACCAGCCTGTCATCCTCCACATGCTTGATATTCCACCTGCTGCCGAGGCGCTCGAGGGAGTGAAAATGGAATTGATAGATGCAGCATATCCTCTTCTTAAGGGTAGCCTAGATGACAAATTTCTCGTTTGATTTAACTCTTGATTGAAGATAGACCACAAGGTTTTTCTAATTTATGCATTCTTTGTGATGTTTGTATTAGGTGTTGTTGCCACAACTGATGCTGTGGAAGCTTGCAAGGGTGTTAACATTGCTGTAATGGTTGGTGGATTCCCGAGGAAAGAGGGCATGGAAAGGAAAGATGTGATGTCCAAGAATGTCTCCATTTACAAGTCCCAAGCTTCTGCACTCGAGAAGCATGCTGCTGCTAACTGCAAGGTATTGTTTTTCCATTGATAAAGAACTAAACAAACTGCGCGTCCATACCTTCTAGTATAATGTTTAAATTATATTGTGAATTAGGTTAATGTTTCTGATGTTGCATTGTTTACTGCCTCAGGTTTTGGTTGTTGCAAATCCCGCCAACACCAATGCATTGATTTTGAAAGAATTCGCCCCGTCAATCCCCGAGAAGAACATTACTTGCTTAACTAGATTGGACCACAACAGGGCCCTTGGACAGATTTCAGAGAGATTGAAAGTTCAGGTGTCTGACGTTAAGAATGTCATTATTTGGGGAAATCATTCCTCAACACAGTATCCCGATGTCAACCACGCCACTGTGAAAACCGCGGAGGGAGAAAAGCTTGTCCGCGGACTTGTAGCTGACGATGACTGGTATAGAAGTTTGACCTAAATTTTTAATCCCATCACAGTGCCATATTACCATTTTTCTTTCTAGATACTCTCCTTGATATGCCCATTTTATGTCAGGTTGAATTCGGAATTCATAACCATTGTCCAACAGCGTGGCGCTGCGATTATCAAAGCCAGAAAGTTGTCCAGTGCACTTTCAGCTGCTAGCTCTGCCTGCGATCACATTCGTGATTGGGTTCTTGGAACTCCTGAGGTAGCCATTTCTTTTTACCGATTATTTCCTAATTGACATGAAATCAATCGTATGTAGTCATGTCTGGTGGCTCTAAATCGAATAGCCGTGATAATCTTTATCAGGGTACTTGGGTTTCTATGGGTGTATACTCGGATGGTTCGTACAATGTTCCGTCTGGGCTGATCTACTCTTTCCCTGTCACTTGCAAAAATGGAGAATGGAGCATCGTCCAAGGTGAGTGTGATTAATTAGGAAATGAACAAATAATCATGATGGATGCATATTGGTAATTGTGAGTATTGGAATTTCAGGGCTGTCAATCGATGATTTTTCGAGGAAGAAATTGGATTTGACAGCCCAAGAGCTGAGTGAGGAGAAGACTCTGGCATACTCGTGCCTGTCTTAAGCAGCGAATGAGAAAATGTTCTACTTTGGACTGGTGAGTTCTGCACTTTTGAATAACCGATCCATAGTTACTTCTTTTTTTCCAACAATTAGTGATTATGATGGAAGCTATGCTATATCTCTGTTTCTGTGGATCATCATCCTCATGGACTACTTGTGCCACCATGACAATCAATACTCTTAAATTTTACACACTTTTTCATTATATGCCCCTCTCTCTCTCTCTCTCTCTCTCTCTCTCTCTCATATCCAAACTTATTCTCACCTTTTTTTTTTTTTTAGTTGTCTTTCAAATTTATTCTGGTTTCAAATGAGTATAAATTTACACGACGGGGGAGTATATGAATTCTTGGCTTATGCTTGTGTTTGTTCGAAGTGATTTGGATTTTGTGTTTAGTTTTGAAATAGTAAATTAGAATGGTTGTTTGATGTGAAATAAAAATGTTAGATTCGATATTTAAATGTAAAATTAATTTTTAGTATGATATAAGAAAATGAAAATTTGTAGTTGATTTAATCCAATTTAGTTAGGGCTTGTTTGCTCGGAATAAGTGGCTTGGTCAGGGTGTTAGTGTGTTAGATTATGATTTTGTTGGAAGATAATGTTAGTGGCGCGGAATTTATTTTGACTCCGTCAAATTTTATGGATCAGCATATGCCATACATACAACATATATTATGCATATTACAAGATAATATTCTGTTCGCCTATAAGGTCATATTTACTTTTTATTTAATATTGAAAATATTTTTACATTTGTATAATTTTTGCTCAAATATCTTTATATTCGTATTATAAGACACTAATTGAATTATTTTTGTAATTTTTTCTTAATTTGTACTATGTTTTAATATAATAATTAATGTTCAAATATTAACATACAAAAAGTAAATGAAATATTTGAACAAAGATTGTACAAACATATGATACTATATTTTTATTTTTATAACATATGTTATTGCTCGAACGGATTAAAGTTACTCTGGGATAATATGCTGATCTGATTCGGTCAAATCATCGCAAATTTTTTATATATCTTATGGAATGAATTTAATCATCGCAAATTTTTTATATATCTTATGGAATGAATTTAATTATAATATGAACTATTGTTTCTTGTTAGGTTTTTTTGCGTAAGATTATTACAACTTTATAGGGTATGTTTGTTTAAAAAATTTCAACGAATTTTCACTATTTATTATTTTTTTAAAAAAAAAAAGAAAAATCAAACTACATACTATCTTTTATTTTTATATTATACTAAAAAATTATTTTTACATTCATCAACAACTATTTATATTATATCATACAATTATTTTAACTCAAAAATTTTACCATTCAAATTCTAATTTAAAATCTAAATTCGCAAACAAGACTGTTGTTATCCTATATCCTATGTATATGTATATATTTTTAAAATATTGGTATTATTTATTGATACTAATTTTATTAAAATTATAAAATATTTATTAATCTTAAACATTAATTTTTTTATTATTTTAATTTTTTTTCAACACTTCAGTAGCCGTAACTTTCCATTTGGGCTCTAACACCGCTATTACAAGATTTGTAACATACAACAAATAATAATAATAATAATTAAAGATAGTACTACATCCGTGGAGTGTCTTGCTGACTGTAAACACACAAATTTAGGATAAAATAATTAAGTAGATAATTAAAAATGTATTAGTAAAAATAATTAATTTATAATATAAATTATTATAGATTAAGATTAAAATAACTAATTAGTTTAATTAAAATTAAAAAAATTATATTAAAAAATTTAAAATAAGATTAAGATGGGTAATCATTTTCCAAAAAATAAAAATAACATGAGATGTCAGACGGACAGAAACGACAACATTTAATTATTATTCTATATTTAATTTTATTTACAATAAATATTATTTTCTCCGTCTGTCATATTTAGTCCATTTGAGTTCGGTCATATTTAGTCCATTTGAGTTTTATATGAGAATTTAAAAAAAAAAAATTTAAATATTTTATTAAAAAAAAAAAGAAGTAAAATGCTAGTTTTAGTTATTTTTAAAAATTTGTTAGAAATTAAAAAGAATAAAGAAAATAATAAAATTAGTAACATTTGTGCTAAATAAGTGTCGAATGAAAAATAATAATTAAACATAATTTTTTTTCCTTTTTTCAAATATTGTAACAAGGTAAATTTAACTTGTATAAAAAAAAAATGGAAGTAAATATTATTACACAATTTATATTCTTTATTCATTGCCTTTAAATTTTCATAAATATCTAAAACTAATTAATACGTTTCAATAAAATATTTCCTAATCTAATAACAATAAGAGCAATGTAAATGATAGTGAAGTAAAAACAGCTTTTCTTAACAATGCCATAAATGATAGAAAAGAAAATAATTGTCAAAAATCTACTTTTTATTTTTTATATTATATTAAATATTAATTTTACATTTAAAATATTAAATCAATACTTATTTATATATCATACAACTATTCCAATTCGAATTTTTTATTATTAAAATCTCAACCCAAAATTCAAACCTCAAAACAAACACACTTTATGTATTACTATTAGAATAAAATTTTTGATAAATTTAGAATATTTTGTTAGTTTTGATAATATATATACCGTTGTGATTGAAACTGTCACATTGTTTTTTGTCAATCGGGAGTTATATTTTTTCCACGTAAAAATTAACAATATTGCTAAAACAAATACAGATTATGATGAATATTTAAATAACAGAATGTATATATATTTATATATATGTTCATGTTATTTATTATGCTTCAGTTTTCCTTTAAATTGTGTATTCTATAGATAATCTCGCCGCATGATGTATGTAATTATTTATGTTTGTAATTCCACTTGTTTTATTAAAATTATCAATGTTATATTTGTAATTTAAAAACTTTATATATATAGACATGTATATCAAGCCCGTCTCTGAAGTTGGGCCACGAGGGCGACTGCCCAGCTCAGCCCAAGAGTGGGTATATATATATATATAAAGGAATTAAACACAAAAGAATGTATATTTTCCAAAATTTTAGGGTTTTGATATATATAATATTAGATGTATATCTATAAATAAATTAGTTACAATTCTTCTCCAGTTTTACTCCAATCAAATTATCGATTTCATAATTTTTATTGTCTCTCCCTTTAACACATTTTTTAGATTTCTTCTTCAAATAGTTTACTAAGTTATGCTCCATGTAATCTTTTGATTTTTGTCCCTTTGTAATGATTTTTTTTTTTTTCTAGTTAGGAGTTTTTATTTTTATTTTTTATTAAAAAAAGTAATAAAATATGTTTCATATTTTTATTCTAAGCCGTTTCCTTCAATAGTGGCGGTTTTTGGATTTTAATTACGTTGGTATTTTATTATTATTTAGTTTATTAAAGTTTATTTTTATAAAGTTGTGCATGATATAACAAGATCGGGGAACCCTAAACTTGTGAATATATTTCAGTTACTAACATAAAAAAATCAGGTGCTTATGTTTCATTTTGTTAGTTATATTTTATTATTGCTTATCTTATTTGCATAGGAATGTTGCAAAAAAAAGATATATTTCTGATAGTGAAAAAAGAAAAAAAGAGAAAGCGAATAGAACAATTAGTAGAATCACAAAAATGATCAATTGATAATTTTTATTTTTTTTTCTAAAAATATAGGTTCTTCCAGTGAGGATTTGAATATAAATGATGTTATCAGTTTGAATCTAACGATGTATTAAATACTGAAAATAGATTTAGTGAATCTAATGCTACTAATTCGAATGAACATAGTAATGATCCAAATATGTCAAATTATATAGCTGATGATAATATTTTAGATGAAATTTTGTTTCTCTATGATCCTAGGTGCTGGAATAATCTTATAATAAAAAAAGGGATATGTTAATTCAAAAGGGACCAATAAGGGAGTTAAATCTTACATTTCCTTTAAATAGTATTTCTAAACATTTTTTATATGTTCATTACTCTTGAAATTTGAAAAATGGTGAGATTGCAGATCGAAAGTGATTAGTTTATTCTAAATATAAAGATAAAGTATATTATATTTGTTACAAATTATTTAAATCTATAATAATAAAAATTACTTAGCAAGTGATGAATTAAATGATTGAAAACGTCTTGGAGATAGACTTAAAACACATTATAATAGTTCTGAACATATTACTAATATGAATACCTGGAATGAGGTAAGAATAAGATTAGCAAATAATCAAATAATTGATCAAGATTTGCAACAAGAAATCATAAAAGAAAAAAAAACGTTTGAGACAAATTTTAATAAGAATTATTTATGTTGTCAAATGTCTTACTAAAAATAATTTAGCTTTCAAGGATCTAATGCAAAACTTTATCAGAGTAGTAATGCCATTTTTTTTTGGATTGATTGAAATGATTGTTGAATTTGATTTAGTAATGCAAGATCATGTTAGAAAAATTCAAGATCAAGAAATTTATTTTTATTATCTCGGCCCTAAAATTCAGAATGAATTAATTTTATTATTATTAGAAATTCAATCATAAAAATTATAAAAGAATCAAAATATTTTTCAATTATTTTTTTTATTGTACCTCTTATGTCAGCCATCAAAAGTAAATAACATTAATTATATATTGTGTAAATATGTCAAATAACAAAATAAAAATTGAAGAATATGTTTTAGAGTTTCTAAAAGTAGATTATACTAGCGGGTTAGAACTTCTTAATGAATTACTAAATGTGCTTAAATCTCTTGATCTTGATATTTATAATATTAGAGGACAAGGTTATGACAATAGTTCTAACATGAAAAATAAACACCAAGGAGTTCAAAAACGATTATTTGACATCATTCATAGAGCATTTTATATGTCATGTGCTTTTCATAGTCTAAATATTACTCTTTGTAATATGGAAAATTCTTGTGTGAGCTATCTCATTTTTTGAAGTTATACAACGTATATACATACTATTTTCAAGTTCTACAAAGAGATGGAAATATTTGCTTCATAATGTGTGTGGTTTAACTGTAAAATCTTTGTCAAATACTCAATAGGAGAGTCGGATTAAAAGCGTTAAAATTATTAGATTTCAAACTCTTCAAATTCGATTGGCTTTAGTAGATTTATATAATTCTTGTGGTGATGCTACGTCAAAAAGTGAGCTGAAAGTTTAATAAGTGCTCTTGAATCCTATAAATTTT